CAATATTTATATTTGCATTAATTTTTGTGGAGATAAATAATTAATTCATTTCCCCCGATCAAAAGCTGAGAAACTTCTAATTTTTTCCGGTAATAATTACCAATTAGACCCCGAAATGCCGTAAGGCCCAATCGAAAATGACCTCCAATTAAATTGTGATATCAATCAAGCAAAGAGTCACAACTGCAATGAATGAGTGGAATAATTCCGCAATTAAGTCCCCCAGAGAAGAAAGAAAAAAATATATATATATATGCTGTAAGGCCCAGAGAATATTTAGAGCAACGAGAACCGCAAACCGCAGGGAAAAATGGCGGGAGCAGGTAGAACCTCGGGCCTTTTTGAGAGTCCGACGTTGAAATAAAGAATAAAGTGAAAAGACAGTGGAGGGGATGCCGGGGCTCCACGAGACAAAGGGCCCGAGACATCGCCCCCCCCCTTTGGAGGAGGGCCTGGATATGACCCAGATAAGGAGCGAGTGATGGCCAACCACTGGGACCCAATGCACAAATACACTGATATTTTCACTGACGCGACACCCAGTAAGACCCAGGGAAAAATGGCCAGACGTTTGCCCTTCAGTGGGACTTATTTCAATGCAACGGCTTTAGCTCCTGGGTCCAAACACTGCACCTAGCCCCCGGGGCCTTGAATAATTAATGCACTTTTTATATTTTTCCCATGAAAATTACTCAATGAATTATTCTATTAAAAAAGCGTATAATAATAATAATAACAATTATTATTATTATATTATATTATATTATATTATATTATATTATATTATATTATGAATTGTTATTATTATTTCATTGTAAAAATTACGAGAATGCATCAATTATTAAAGAATTATTTATTGAAAAAAATATGAATTGGATTGCACCAAGTGAATTTATTTAGCAGAAGCAAATGATTTTATCGGAATAATTCTTTTTGCTGATGAAATAAATATTTAGGGAGAGGAATAAAAAAAGAATCATATGGGATGATATTTGTTGAATGATAATCCCCGTGATATTGACCAAGTTGAAGGAGAGCAGTTGAAAGTGGAGAAGTGGCTTTGTGGAAGTTTGAAGGAGAGAAAGAGAGAGAAAAGTGAGGCTTCAAGAAGGTGAAGCCGTCGGAGATGGGTCCTGAGAGGAAGGGAGAAATAACCATCGGACAAAGCACGTGACGTCTGGAATGATCGTATCCTTGTCTCATGGCCTCTCACTGTATTCACCAAAAACTTCCTCTCATGTCTCTCTTCAACATTCTCAAGTCTTGAGACTATCCTCTACACAAAAAACAACCCTCACACACCAGACCCACACTCTACTCCCAAAAATAATGCCCATTTTCTAATCAACAATTTTCCTTTCAATGTTTTACTCTCATTTTTTCTCAATTCGTCAAGAATTCCGAAAAAAACTAAATCAAAGTCAAAATTTAATCAGAAATTACGAATTGTGATATTTTTATTGAAAATTTTTTCAATGGTTTTGCAATTTTTTTGAATTGTTAAATTATTCATAAGGCCCATTTTTCAAAGTCTTTCAAGAGATTAGAATAATGAAGTCAAAATAATTTACTAACAATATTTATAACTAACAATTTTTATTCGAGATTTCACCCCAAACCGAAATTTTCCCGCCGATACCGAGTGACTAAAAAAAACATCTCATTTCCCCGAAAGTAGATTCAAATTACGTAACAAAATACCGAGAATCCTTCAATATTCACGAGGGCCCAAATGAAAGAATAAAAATGAAATAAAGCGAAAACTACACGGGTGTCGGCGTTTCAAAAAGAAAAAAAAATGTATTGAAACGAATAAAAAAAAAAACGTTCAGTAGGCCAGGGCTTCGCCAAAAATTCATCATGCCCGGTTTTGTGGCCTTCGAAACTGCTCTCCAAACCGACGCCCAAGCGGTGGGATATTCCCCTTAACCCCTCGGCCCCTTCCCCTCGAGCCCCGGACGAACGACATGACACGAAGAAACACGAAATAAGAGAGACCGAGACAGTGAGACCCAAGAAAAATGAGACAAACTGAGACAAAGAGAGAAGAGACATTCTCTCGTCCCCCTGTACCCCCTATTGCCCCCTTTTTTTCTCCTTCTTTCTCCCCCTTTTCTTCCCCTCTCGCCCTATCCTCCAAGAGCTGACACGAAAAAGAGGGAATGAGGGACCAAGAGGCGAAGAGAGGGAGGCCGCGGAAAAGAGAAGAGGAGAAGGGGGGAGGGAAA